CTGGGGGCCCCGTGACGTCACGCGCCGAGCGGGGAATCCCCGGGTGGTACCAAGCGTGCGCACGGGGACGCGCCCCACGCTGGCGAGGGGAAAGCCTCGGGTCTATGCAGCTGGGGCCCACCGAAGCGTTTACCTCAGAGGGGCTTCTGTGGGTGTCCGGAGTGATTCGAGGGGCTCAGGGTCGGAGCCTCCGGAGCGTCCTCCCCCTCGCCGGATGGCGCGTTCCGCAGGCGGGGCCTCCAGGTCCGGGTCCTTAACCCCTTATCGCCTGGCCCAAGCTTCAGAACAGAAGGTCTCCCGCGCGTCCGCTCTCTGGAGTGGAATCCGGACTTCGGATTCGGTCTCCGAATGGACACAGACTCCACAAAGCACTCGCGGTACGACAAAAGCACAGAGCCGGAATAGATTGAAGGGAAGAGACATGCTTTCCAGAGATGATGGCATTAAACCCGGTTTGAAGGATCAAATCAGAGCTAGCCAGAAGGAAAGAAAAGGGGACTCTAAACTGCAGAAAAACCTAGTCCAGGTTTGGGCATGTAGCTCAGCGGAACAGAGCCTTTCTGGCAAGCACAAGGCCCAGACTTCGATTCCCGGTACCAAAAAAAAGAAAAACCCAGACCAAGGGACTCAATGACAGAAGAATTCTCAGCAAGTTCAGAGATGCAAGGACAAGGGCTGCAAAACAGCCTATGGGGAACCAGGTAGAGTAGGGCTTAAAGGGCCCAGTTGGAGCGGGAAATTTTAGGCTTGTAAGACTAAAAGGATACTCCTGGTTTTATTTGGAAACCCCCAGGCCCAGAAGAGAGGAAGGACTTGGTTGCCTGAAGTTACAGGGAGTAGATGCTAAGCTGGCCAGCAGCCAAGTATCCTGCCTGACTCAGAGCCCAATGATTCCCATCTTTGGGCAGCCTGTGGAGGAGCAATCATGGATTCCAGGGGAACTGTAATAAAACTTTCTAAAGGTGCCTGTCCAGAACTGTGTAGACACTCAGGCTAGGGTGAGAAATGAAAGAAGAAATCACACTGGCCCAGCTTAATCCTTGGGAGCCCTGAAGAATCCTTGGCAGGCCCAGGAAGTTCTGCTGTTCGAGTAGAGGCCAAAGGCCGACCTGGCCACCCCCAGGAAAGGAGAGAAACCAGGCGACAAACAGCAGCCTTTCAGGTACTGTAGGTTACAGGTCTGTTGTGATTCTGGTGGGGATGGGTCAGACTTGGAAAGCATTAAAGCCAGTGATACCCGAAGACAGGGTACCCTGCCCTACTTTGAAATCACAGCGAACCAGACTCAGTGGCCTACACTGTCATTGTCTCGAACCTTGATGTCCTTTGCACATGCTGTGTCTGATGTTTGCATCACTTTCCACTCAAGTCAGCCTGGTTCTTCTCATGAATCCTCTCCTCTAGGAACACCTCCTTGTCCCTGCACTGAATTAAGGCTTCTGTGATACAGTCTGGGGTCCACAGCCCTACACATCCTATAATACCACAGCCAGCACACCAACCTACTATAGTCTGTGGGTTTTCCTTGGGACAGTGCCTGGTCCCAAGTATCTTGGGCAAGCACAGGCCCTGCCAGTTGAAGGAATAACTTCTGTTGCAGGTGGTGATATAAATTCACCAGAAAGCAGGTCCAGGAGATGGGTGTAGTGCTGTGGAGACCCAGGGCCAGTTGGTAACAGTGATGAAGTCACTTTAGGGATTCATTGATTTGCTCAGGTGCTTGGGCTAAGTACCTTGGAAAATGGCAGTTTTCGCTAAATCTTTTTTGACTCATGGAACACTATTTTAATGATTTTGTCTCTTTTTTTTCATTTTTTAGTACAAGGGGTTGAACCCAGGGTCTTCCCACTGTGCTACATCCCCAGTCTCTTGAAGAGACTGATGTAGGCAGATCCTCTTTTCTTTTTTTCTTTTTTTTTTTTTTCCACTTTTTTTGAAACAGCGTCTCACTATGTAGTTGAGACTGACCTGGAACTCACTATGCAGCCCAGGTTGGTCTTGAACTCACAGCGATCCTCCTGCCTCAGCCTCCCGAGTGATGGGATTACAGGCATGTGCCACTATACTCTGTCTTTTATTTTGAGACAGGATCTTGCTTTGTAGTTCAAGCTGACCCTGAATTTACTATGTAGCCCAGGGTAGCTTCGAATTCTCAGCAGTCCTCCTGCCTCTGCCTCCCATGTGCTGGGATCACAGGTGTGCACCACCATGCCTAGCAAGATCCTATTTTTGAGGCCAACCTGGACAATTTAACTAGACTTTCTCTCAAAATAAAAATAA